GGGCCCCCCGGCCCCCCCGGTCTGAACAGTTACTGCGAGCCGTCGCAGTGCGTCCTGCCCATGGTGGCGTCTCCGATTTCAGCCAAGGACTCGGGCATGAAGGGGCCCAACGACATGTGAGGGGAGACGAAGCCCATCGGGAGGAAAAGCCGATAGAAACGGGAGGAGGAATCGGAGCTCCACTTGAGATTAGTCGTCTGGTTTTTTAGGTTTTTTTTTTTTTTTTGCTCGTGATTAAAAACGGACGTGAATGTGGAGACTTATCACCTGTCAGCTTTAAAGAGTCATGTGCATTAAAAGCTTTGAGCGACCTCAATTTAGTGTTCTCTGTACTGTAAAATCGAAGCCGAAAAATGAGTTTGGAGAAACGAAAAACATCCCTGTACATGTGCAAACCACCCCAGATCAGTTTCTATCCAGATAACCTAGAGTCTAAATGTTTTTTGTAAATGTGTCGATATGCAAATTACACTGTTGGATTCCACTTTTGGTCGTGGCAGTCTGTTCTGTTCTCTCCTCAGCGGCGGTTTGCAAACCTAAATGTAGGATGTGTTTGATCATGTGTTGAAGACGACTTCTTATTTATTATATCTATCACAGGTTTACGTGACATCTACGTGTTGTATAAAGGAGCAAATAAACACATTTTGATAACTTCTCGCATGTTTTAAATGAACAGCCAGTAGCGCACAGATAAAACACACACAAACCGTAAAGTGTCTGGTAAAAGCAGACCTGAAGGCACCTAATCATTCATTTCTATGAAAGTATTTAGCTTTTAAAGGGGCTAAGACTATCCTGTAGAAGCATTTAGAAGTTTAGAAACGAGTAAAAATGTGTTCATGTGAGCATGAGGAGGATTTTGGAGCAGATTTGGTGTCTGTGGTCAGTACAGGAAGAACCTTGGTTTTGGAGACTTAAAGGAACTCGTTGGGACTAGTAACCACTCTGGTCTTTTTCAGATTTAGTCAATTAATAAACACCAACGATCAGACCTCAACTAGTCACAAAAAATTAGGGATATTGTTATTTACATGAGTGCTTTTCCTATTGGGTCTGAATTTGAATGAAATAAGTCAAAGTTCCCTTTGATATGACTAATAATGAATGAGAAAAAACACGATTTTCATTAGTTTAATACCTATTACTCGTAAAAATCCCCAAAATCTCCCAAAAGTGAAACAAACACTGTATGTATGAAACCAACTGAGTCTCTGACAATATTCCTAAACTATTGTGAGTACTGTAAATAGATCTAAGAGCTCAGCAAAGAAAGATGTTTGTGTTTCCTTTATCTGAATAAAACTTACCAGAGAAAATAACTCACGCACAGCTTTTTTTTTCTGCAGTGTATCATTTAATGTACTCTCACAAGTTGGTGAACAGGTACAACTTTGTCGCTCACTGTACTAAATCACACATCCATTGATAGTATAAATAGCCAACCTAATAATAATAGTACACATTTTCATATACATAAAATCATCAAGTATCCAAGTCTTAAGTTACAGACATCAAATAAAAAGGCATACAAAATATCGCAGACATTGGAAGTCCAGTTTGAAGCAAAAAGAAGCAAAAAAAAAACAACAAAGAGACAAAAAGATCACATTTTTTGACATGGCAGTTAATTAGTAAACAGAAGGTGTTGATAAAGAAAAAAGGATGAGCTCCTAGACTTTCAACTGACGAGGATTGCAATGATTAAGCAATTCATATTAAAAAACAGTTACTGAAAGGGCATAAGTGTGTAAGACTTCCCGCACGAGACAAAGGCAACAGTTAGTTTAGTTTTTTTTTGTTTTTTGTTCCAAGTAGAAAAATGAAACAGCGCTTCCAAATGCCAGCAGGTTGCCTTTGCTTCGCTTCGATTGTAAGGCATTTATGGATGATCCGTCTGTCTGAAGGAAGGCATACCTCTTTCTGGTAACTCTCGAACTGAAACGGGGGCAACGGAAAACTGGTGGGATTTTTGTTTTTTTTTCCCCCCTAACACCTAAGTGTGAACGGAGAAGCCAATTGGAAGTCTTTGGGTTTGCACTTTCGGACGACAGTTAATCTAACATCTCACAATGATACACGACTCGGCACGGCCCTTTTTTCTTTTTCTTTTTTTTTTTTTCCTTCCGAACTCTGGTTCGTTCCGAGAGAAAGCGGGGTTCACACAACTCTCCTTTAGACATGTGACTTTGAGCCTGAAAGGGGGGGTGGGTGGGGGGGGGGGGGGGACAGGCAGATGACAGCATGATTTTCTTAAAGTAAGTTACTTTAACACAATGGAGAAAAAACGACAACGAAAACACAGGCCTGCCAGGCGATTAGCTAGCACGATGGAGCTGAGCCCTCTGAAGGGTGGGGGTGGGGGGGGGGGCTGGCGCGGCTCAGGGTTGGGCTCTACTGGATGCAGCAGGTATTGCGATGGCCGTTGGAGTCTTTGAAGCGCAGGCGCATCTTTGGACGATATTTCTCCAGGTAGAACAGCTGCTTGCTATTGAACGCTCCTCGACGCTTCCTGGAAGAAACGACGGGTTGGGATTAGTTCCAGGGACTCGGGAGGGGGGGGGTGGGACTGGGTGTCCGGCACTTACTGTCGAATGAACTGGACAGCATCTTCGTATTTCATCCCGCACTCGATCAGGGCCAGCGCCACCAGGACCGGAGCTCTGCGCAGAGGAGAGCCCACCGTCAGGAACCCAAAGTGTCTTTAAAGGTCCACGCTGTAGGAATTTCTCCATCTAACGGTTCAATTCTGCATTCTGACTTATGTTACTCTCTGGTGCCTCCGTTTTCAAATGGGTATTACAGCTACGGTAGCCGTCAGGCATCAGGAAGTAATGATAGCATGACTTCCACATCGTCCAGTTTTCTCTGGGTGATGAGGTTTGTAATTAAAAAGAAACGACAAACTGCATTGAATCATTGGTGTGAGCAGGTAATTACTCCTACAACAAGATGGCGTATTAGGTTCCCGTGTTAGTTTTTATATTTGTAGCTATATGTCCCTCTCTCTTGTAGTTTTTCAAAATGGCGGAACGCCATGGAAACCTCCGTGGACTTACCCGTCCTGTGTACAGCAGAACCTCTACTTACGATGCCTAAACATACGAATTTTCCAACATACGGAGTGAAATTTGATCAAATATTCGACTTGACACCCAAAGTAAATTACCAACATATGACGTTGAAGTCATAGTATTTCTCTTTTAAAAAAAATAAGTTAGTGTAAAGTTCACATGGTGAAAGTTAGAGTAAGTTATGGTACGTCCTGTATCTCAGTCTCCAGCTCTACCTCCGTTCACCAATAAGTTCCAATAAAAACCCTTATTAATGTTAATTTCTTTATTATTATTTTCTTTTTATATCTCTCCTATATAATGCATTTGTTTTATTGCTATCTGCAGTATTTATTAAGGAGTTATAGGTTTTTTGGGCTGTGGAACGAATTAAAGGAATTAAAGTGTATTCTTATGGGGATACTTGAACCAACATACGAATATTTTAACATACAAAGTAATTTAATTTAACATACGGAACTAATTTAATTCCTACGTAGAGGTTCCACTGTTTATACAGGTAGGAAATTCTTCGCTTATGAGGAGAAGTCAGATCATTTCACAGGTAATTTTTCACCAAATGAGGACACATTTAGAAATAAAGACAAATATTTTAGTTATTAAAATACTGCGCAATGTCCCTTTAAAGGACAGAAAGGGGTTTTAAAAGAGGACAAGGAACAGAAGCTCCTGTTAGACATCTGATGTGAGGGGCATCGTTCAACATCACCTGCTGCCACTCCTCCTCCGCCAGCGGCCGGCTCGGGCCGGCGGGGGCTCTGACTCACCTCCCCAGCCCCGCCACGCAGTGCACCGCCACGCAGCAGCCCGGCTCCTCCCTGAACTTCAGCTTCAGCAGGTTCAGCCAATCGTCCACGATCTGGTTGGAGGGAGGGGCCCCGTCGTCAAACGGCCAATCCTACGGCGGGAGGAGGAGGGGGAAGAGGAGGAGGAAGGGAAGGGAGGGGGGGGAGATGATGTCATCAGGCAGGTTTCTTGGAAACCAAAACAAAAGGAGGCATGAGGGCTGAGCCGGCTGAGTGGGGGGAGGGTCCCCGCTTCGACGCTTTCACGGCCCACACACACATTCTACTCTGTTCAGCTCCCAAACGATGGACCCACCTGCAGGCTTCCAACCACGGGAACAAAAACCGGAGGCTGCGAGGGGCTTTTAACCACGGCGCCTATACCTCCCCCCGTTAGCGGCTTTCGGGACTCACCAGAACTTGGATTCCTTCCTTCACCACCAGGGTGGAATCGTAGGTGGCCTCGCAGACTCTCACCACGGTGGTGACGCCGTACTTCTTCAGCTCCTGGGGAGGGGGGGTCAAGGGTCAGCGGAGGGGCGCCGACAAACACAAACGACTACGGCGAAAACTACGTTTCCCGTTTAGCCGGGCGGCGGCGTGCGACTCACCTCGATGAACTTGTTCAGGGTGGCGTTGGTGGGATTGTGGGTGATGAGAAACCTCATGTTCTTGTAGGTGATCTCGACGGGGGCCGGTCGGTTCATTCGAGCCATTGTGACAACGTAAACTTTTTAAAAAAAGTATTTCGACGGAGAGCGAGCGGATTCCACAGAGCCGAAACTATACTGTAAACAGTTAAACTCGGAGGGAATGTCAAACACAAAATGTCCGGTGAGCTTCGGGAAGCCCGGAAAACAAAAAATCCTCCGATCTTTGAGCTTGGCAACGTTTTGGGAGGGGGTTGGAGAAAAAAAAAAGTAAAAGCTTAAAAGAAATGATCAACGGGTGTGTTGAGGGAACTGGCAGCTGAAAGGAGGGCAGACGAGAGGGGACAGGAACTCAAAGCCCTCCGTTTCTGGGAGAAAAACTAAAGAAAAAGGGAAGTAAAAAAAAGAAAAAAAAAGGAAAAAAAGGCTGCTTCCACCGTGCTTCTGGCCAGGTGGGAGCCGACGAGGGCAGTGTGCAGCGAGTGGAGTTACCCCATCCAGGCCGAGTTGTCGCTGGTTCTGGGAGGCGTCCCGGCTCCGCCAACGCTCCGAGATTCCTCCTGTGGCTCAAGTGTGTCGGATGGATGGCGCGTGTGGCGGTTCACTCGTCTGCATAGGCAGCGTGCTGAGCCTGGCAGTAGTCTCCACTGCCCTTCAGAAACTCCATAAATGTGTGACCCAAAACACCACAGAACTGCTGCGGGGGACAAGAGGACAGGGAGGGAGAGAAGCTTCACTCTGAGGAACGGGGCCTGGTTTTCGAATCAAAGCCGAGTTCCTCCACGGTTTCTCTACGGGCGAAAAGACGGAAAACCACAAAGCCACGGATACAAGAACAAAGCGTGATGGATGAAGGAAAAAAAAAAATATGTGGTCACTGATGAACGCATGAGTGGACAGAGCCCCCCCCCCCCCCCCCCCATGCACCCACAGCCGCTGCGTCATCCTCTGACTGCACCGACCGGGACTTCTGAGAAAAACCACGGAGCCAGCAGCTCGGATTTCTGCAGGCCAGATGAGATCAGGTTCTGGCCGAGGCTGACAGGGCAGAGCTGCGTCCAGGCTGGACGACCGGTGACGCAGCTCAGTGAGGACTACTAGCGCTCCATGACAGTGGACACAGGGGCATTCAACCCCCCCCAAGCGGCTGCCCTGTTACGGGAGCTCAACAGGAGGCCGCTGCATGGAAGCGTTTGGGTCCAGTTTATTTGTTTATTCTAAACCTGGTGCCGGACGAGACCGATTTTAAATGACTTGCAACTTTGCTGGCACCATGCAGCTCACACGAGGGGGGGCATGGATTTGATTCCCAGCGAGCCCTCTGCCCCAAGTCCGCCCCACTCTGAGCAGACCGACCCGGGTCTGGTCCTGGACCAGCCAGAGTCCGGCCCACTCAATGTCTGTGAGACCAAAAGGCCCAATAAGACGTCTTAATGCTAAAGTTCCAGCCCTGCACAGATTAAGGGGAGCAGAGCTTTGGAACCCCCAGCAGATGGAGATGAAAGCTGGAGGAAAAGATGGACCAGCCAACAGCTGAATCTACATACGGAACCGAACAGAGACCCTCAGAAAAAATGGGCTCGAATCACCTGACACTCACTGAATTAAATGCCTTTTTAGCTGGCGAGCTACTAGTCCTTGTTGACCAAAGTCTGGTACATCAACTAATATCAATAAATGACCCAAAGCACATGACTTTAAGAAATCTTCATCTTTTTTTAAAACCAGAAACTAAATGAATCATAATTGGATTTCTAGACTCCCCAGAATAAAGGAATTTTTCTCACAGACATAAGTGTAGTTATGATTTGTCTGTGGTTAAATGATTCATTTGTTTTTATATTCCTTAAGTACGTGTGGCATAGCTCTACAAAGTGCCTGAAAACAGGTTTCAATATGCACTGAGAAGATGATTCTGTGGAAAAAAAGGGGAATAAATCAGAAAATTGCGTGCCCACAGCATCCCCAAGGCCTTCTTTTGTCTGGCACTGATCGTTGTAAAAATGTATTATATTCATGCAAAGTAGATTCAGGAGCCGTTAAAGGGTCGATCTCTAAAAGGCCTGGTCATGCCTTTTTTTAGACTCTATGCTTCGGCCCCCCTGCTGACGGCCTTCAATGGCTATCAGACACAGGTCAATACATCCGTGTGCTCGGTCCAGATCTGATCCGGACCCATCACCGGAACACGGGCGGTTCTGGGAGATGGACCACAAAAAGAGCACGGCCCAACACCATGCAGTCGGAGGCGGAAGCAGAAACCAAAACCAGGAAGTGGAACCCATCAGGTTTGGGTTCATTTCCCAGCCGACCGGCCTCTGACCGGAATCTAACCGGTCCGGATTTGTGTGCGTTTGTAGGAACACCTCCAATAGACTTGACCCATAGCCATCCCGGTGAAAGCCAAATCTACCTGGCAGGCTGTTGCGTAAAGCTCTGCAGGGCTGTGAAACCGCTTATCTAATGGCTGGCGGAGCACAATAGAAAGGATGTGTCATTCCTGACATCTAGGTCACGCCGAGCCGTCCGGGAGGCCTTCAGCCGGGCCGGGTGCACACATCACGGCCAGAGGGGCCTTCTGCTGCCCCCGGGGCACCTCCAGGAACCAGGGGGGGGAACCGGGGTGGTGGTGGTGGGTGTAGGGGGTTCGGTGCCAATAGAACCTCAGCTTCTTCACTCTGCTCAAACAGCCCCTTTTATTTGTCCTCCATCTTTTTTTTTTTTTCGGCCAGAAAACGAGCAGAAAGAAGGCTCACGCGAAGAGCCGCGCGAGGCACACCGAACCGGATGACATGTCGGTGGCATGAAACGAGCAGCTTTAAAGGTGTCCTTTGTGTGTGGGGGCGGACGGGGCGCCATCACGCAGCACGAGAGGCCTCACGCGCAAGCCGTTTAACGTTTAAACCGACGTTTTATTTAAAAAATTTTACAGCCAGGCTGTTGTTTAGAGCCACGGTGCCCCCTTTTCGCTTCTCATTCGACCGTTATTTGACATAAAACGGTGGTTTAATCCGACGTGAACCTCGAGTGACTGCCGGGGACCACAGCCCGAGCTGCGCATCCGACATGACGCTTCCGAGCCGCGGCGACCTCCGCACGAACCGCCGATTTTCCTCTAAATTTCGAAGGCTAAACGCCGTCCAAACGCCAAGAGTCGGCCCACAAACGGGGCAAAAATGGCAAGGGCCACTTTGGTGTGGATATTCGAGGCGCTGCGAGCCGAGCTGGCTGTGATTTCATCGACGAAAGGCGAAGGCCAGCTGTTGAGTGAACAGATTTCCACAAGCCGATAAGGATGGAGATGCGAAACAAAATGGCAGCCACAAATAACACTACTTACTGGGATATGCTTACTCATTGAAGATTGTAGCTTAATCATACAGCCGGTCCCCAGAAAAAGGTAAAACTGTGAATCGGGTCTCCACCATAAAGTCCGGTGCTGGTTCTCCGAGCTGAGCCGAAGTCTGCTGATCTGCCGGGGCGACGGTGACACGAGCCGGGCGGCGGGGGCCGGGGCGCTTCCGGTCTGAGCCTTCACAATAAAGGCTCAGCTCACCGGCTCCCTCGGGAGCAGGGCACACACGAAGGAAACCTGCAAATTAACTTTTTCCGCTTGCCCAGATGCCCTGATGAACCTTTGTGTTTGGTACTGATAAAAGTTATTATGCAGAGCAGGGAGGAACAGCAGATTTCTGAACCACCCCTGCAGCATGTGACTACATGTTCCACAGGAAGGCTGAAGATGAATGATATACAATTCTAATCTATATCGACATAACTTTTGAATATGCATAACGTTGACAGACACCTGCTGCTTGTCTTAGCTTCCTATCAGAAGGAACGGGGAGCAGTGTCATCCCTACACCTTCTGTCACTGTGCCCATGACAGAACCACTGTCACCACCTGCCCAAGCATAGAAACAAATGAACAAGTACAAATAATTTGTTTGCTGAATGTGTTCAATCGATTCTGTAAAGTCATTAGTTTATATACTCAAAAATACCCCTTTCTCGCTTGTTTTATTACCATGTTTGGCTTTTACTTTGAAGGAGAATGTTACACTCTACTTCCGGCGCGTGTGAATCCCTCCAGCTCGACGCATCCCTGGAAACCCCACCCTGAAAATGTGCAGTGCGTTGTCCAGACATCTCCCGGCCTGAGAGGGCCCGGGTCAGGTGGAGCCCGTGCATGGCCCCCGTAGCACCGGGGGACCGGCCTGAAACCACCATGTTAACTGATGCTGCTTCATATTTGATTGGCTCATATAGTAATGGAGATTCAGTGATATGTTTATTTTTTGTATCTATATAAATCAAGAAATTATTATGTCATTGTAATGTTTCTAAGTAAAACAACATATTTGAGAATACATTGCTAACTCATTTTTATTATTGAAAATATCATTTGGGCTCAAGAGCTCCCAACATACTGGCGTATTGACTATGACAGAAAAGACAGAGCACAGCTTTGGTTTACCTAGAAGAACTTCCGAGGATGAGCCATGGCTGAAAATGTTTGGTGTTTGTGTTTTTCATCGATTAAAAGGGTCCCGGTTTCACAGGAGAAGAAATACTGGAGAATTTCAGCCGAACTATGTGTTACAACACAACTCAATACAAACAATTAATTCCTTTATTGCCTTAAAATCACTTCCTTATCATTTATCTACAGACAGAAAAGGAGGGAGATCATGATATAAAGGACACCTTATTTTTTACAAAAAGAATTCCCAGACAGTTCTTGAAAAGAGCTGGACCTGTGAAGTAAAGTCCAAATAATTAAAGCATCCGTCACCCTTCATTTCAAACAAGCTCATGAAATGTAGAGGTACAAATTTCAGAAGTCAGCTGGACAATTAACCTCTCATTGGAGCCACAATAACAGAAGTGCCAGTATCTTTTTCATATAAAGTCCATCAAACCGAACCGAACCGTCTGTAAATATGTATTTGTCTTTGAGAAACAAGGGATTCACTTGGCTCTCTCAGGAGCGGCGATTGTCCAGTGTGTTGGTGAAGTTGATTGTTTTTAAACTCCAGAATGAATACTTTTGCAGCCATATCTATCTGTAAGCATAAGCAGACCTGCTGAGTTCTGCATTTTCACTCTTTGGTGGCACAAAAGCAACACTGAATTGTCCTCCCCCGCCAGCCAATGGGCTTGAAGCTGCGGGGCTTCAGTTCCTACCGGCAGCCGGCTGGGGCCAGTTTGAGGCTCAACTCCGGTGGGTATTAGGGCCCAGAGAGAATTTTCCAATCCATCACCATTGTACCAATTGTCTATAAAAATTAATGTGCATGTGAGGTGCTGCCTTCAAATGAGGGCAATCAAATTTCAAATCCCTGTTCATGGAAACAAAGACAGAAATGAATGACTCTGAAAGTTCTAAGGTAACTACCCCAAATGTACTTTTTCAGTTGTGAGATTGTAAAATACTGTGTATTCAAATGTTGTTGAATGGATTTAGACTTTTTCTTTAATTCTGTTTTGTTACAGCTTTGGCCTGCTGACATTCTCTGGTAACCACGTACTGTTCTGTGACTGAGCCATTGTGTTTTTCAGGAGGGCCAGAGTAAATGCAGCGACCAGCTAGATGGCACAGGTATGAGCCTGGGGAACAAAAAAGGAGTGAGGGTGACCGGCAAATATGTGCCCACAGAGGAGTGGAGCCACCGAGAAAGAGGTCCGTCTATTGTCCACTCTCCCACCGGCGCCCAAATATCTCCAGATGCCCCCACTGTTATATCTATCGGCCCAGCTCCTCCAAGGACCCCAGAACACTTTGGGGCTCCCAGGGTGGACGAACCTACATCTGGGGAGGACAGGAGAAGACAGGCGTTGTCTCAGACCAGGATGTTCTTTGGTGAGATGGGTGTCCCCCAGCAGACCATGGAGGAGCTCAAAACCGTCCTGAGGGACAGCTCGATGCTCGGCATCAGGGGAAGAAACGACGGTAAACCGGGGGGTCCCTACAAATACCTCCACCGAGGCGGTAGTGGTGGTGGAGGACCGGACGGGCATCAGGACGATGGAAACCCTCAGAGGGCATTCAGCACCTTCAAACCTCAATCCGATGCTTCCAGAAGGGGGCCCGGGCCCAGAGATAGCACGTCTATTCAGCAGCCATCCAGTATGGATTCATCCAGCTCATTCAGGTCTGCTGCCAACACAAATAGGCAGCCTGTAGTCAGGACTTATGCACACACCAGCAGCAGCTCCGGGGGCAGCACTGGAGATTCTCATTCTGGTTAGTAAGGCTTTAATCGAGAAAAATCTGTTGTGTATTTGTGGTTAGAAATGTTGATTCAGAAAGTAAGCTGTGGATAACCCAGTTTATGTCTAATTGCTAAAATATACCACATCAGAACATTGACATCTAAACCTGGCGTGTGTTCAAATCTTTTCCCTGGGACTTCTGGCTTGTTTCCAGCCATAAGAAGATGCCTCTCGTCTCAACAGACTTTAGAACAGCTGCAGTTTTTTATTGTTTTGTTTCTTCTGTTTTTAAAATATTTATATTGTTTTGACTTGATTTGACTTAAGTTAAATCCCCCCAGCGCTAATTCTAACTTTAGCACAATAAAAAAACACTGGTGTTTATTTTTTGGTTGTTTTTCAAATAATTTTGCACAAATGAGCAATATCACTCTGTTATAGTTCTAGTTTGGATGCTGTGTTGTTTTTACTTATGGATCAAACTAGACTCATAGCAATCTGTTTCTAAAAAGACAGCCACAGCTAACACATAAGACTGTCTTTTTCTGGAAGTGTCCTGACCTTTGAACTTCAAAAATACAACAGACTTCTAATGGCAAATGTTTTTTGCAGACAGTTCAAACGACACAGTTGAGTTGTCTGGGAACCAAAAGTTCTTCACAGTCATGGAGCAGATTAAGCAGCAGATTGCCAGAGAAAACATCAACTTTGTCCGCTTTGAGGCCACTGATCTTCACGGGGTGTCGAGGTCCAAGATCGTGCCAGTCCGCTTCTTCCATGTAATGACCACCTACCTACCTACCTACCTACCTACCTACCTACCTACCTACCTACCTACCTACCTACCTACCTACCTACCTACCTACCTACCTACCTACCTACCTACCTACCTACCTACCTACCTACCAACCAACCAACCACCCTACCTACCTACCTACCTACCTACCTACCTACCTACCTACCTACCTACCTACCTACCTACCTACCTACCTAACCACCCACGCACCCATCTATCTATCTTTTTAATGCCTGTGCTGCATTGACAGGAGAAAGCAGTTTATGGCGTCCCCATGCCAAGAAGCTACTTGGAGCTGACCCTGAGCCCAAAGAGCACCGAGGTGGACCATGCCAGCACAGCGAACTTCAGCAGCGATGTCCTCCTGATCCCTGACCTCTGCACCTTTAAAGTCTTGCCCTGGGCGGAGCAGACGGCGCGGGTCATCTGCGACCCGTGCACCGTGACGGGCGTCCCCCTGCGCACCTCGCCTCGCCTCATTGCCAAGCAGCTTCTGGGCCAGCTCCAGAATCTGGGATTCTCCTTCCACTCGTCCTTCACCTACGAGTGCTGCGTCCTCGGGGCCCCCGACCGGATTGGCCCGAAGACGCTGCTGTTCCCTGCCACCACGCTTCTCAGCAACCACGACCTGCCTTTCTTCCAGCAGCTGGTGGACAGCATGTACTGCATGGGCGCGGACATAGACAGCATCGCCTCCGCCACGGGCCCCGGCCAGATGGAGATCAACTTGAGGCCGGAGTTCGGGATAGCCGCGGCCGACAGCGCTTTCACGTTCCGTACCGGCATCAAAGAAATGGCTCGCAAGCACAGCTACATCGCCAGCTTCTTTACCGACGACGGCCTGTACAACGCCGGGGTGCTCTCGCACAGCCTGTGGGACGCCAACGGCCGGCGCAGCCTCTTCCACAGCGGCGATAAGGCCGGCGAGCTTTCGGACATCGGGAAAAAATGGCTGGCCGGGCTCCTGACGCACTCCGCCGCGCTGAGCTGTCTGATGTCCCCCGGCCTGGGCTGCCGGAGCCACATCGCCAAGACCGTCAAAGACCCCAAGCGAGTGCTCTACGCCAGCTGCGGCTGCAACGACAACAGCAGCTCCTTCAACATCAAGTGCCACGGCGGGAGGGAGACGCACATCGACAACAAGCTGGGCTCGGCCATGGCCAACCCCTACATCGTCCTGGCCGCCACCGTGGCCGCGGGGCTGGACGGCATCAGGAGAAACCTGAGCACCGAGAGCACTCTGAACAAAGCCCCCAGCCAGCAGAAGGAGTTTGCCATTCCGGTGAAGCTGGACGACGCCCTGGAGGCTCTGGGGGAGGATGGCGTCATCTGCAGTGCCCTGGGAGAACCTTTCGTTCAGTATTTCATCGCGCTGAAAAAGTTTGAGATCGAGACCCAGGAACTGGATGACGACAGGAACAAATGCCTGGAGTATTTCATTTAGAACAACCTATTTTATCATGAGTGAAACGCACCTCTCCTGCTACCCTGACAGAAGCACAAGTAACAGCTGATTGAATATAAATCTTTATTTTACATTCACGCTCATACAATGCTGCCACACAAATTGAATTTGTCAGAGTCATTTTAAAATAAAGGCACAAGTGCTAAGTCTTCCAGTGCTTTATTGTTGTCTGGATTCAGCTTTGAGTGTGAAGCAGCTACCAAAATACAAGTTTACTTTCTGCGGATTAACAAGAAAGGGAGAAGTCTCTTCACTGTACTGCGCTGCTCTGTGGTGTGTAAATACCACCGTGACCTCATTAGTCATGGCTGTATGACCAGTGCATTTCAGAGAGAACTTCATGTTCAGTTTGCGTGACCTCGATATCTGTCAACTTTACTCATCACTTCCCCTATCACACTTTCACCTCATTAGTTCAACTTGAGTATTTCGAAAAAACACATTTTCACATACTCAAAGTAATTCCCCGTGTCCCCTGTATGTTTGCTTTTTTCTTAATTAGGATCATTCCTCAGTGAGTCTATGGTCTATCACTGCTTTATCAGAATAAGCCGAAGTCCTAATTATCCATGTCTTAAAAACTTTTACGGCAGGGATAACAAGCTCCATGAGGGTTCAACAAACTGAAATGAAAATATCTGAACAGCTCATAAACTGTATAGAGCAGGGATAGTTACACACTGGTTTTGTTTTGGCAATGCAAACTGAGGATGGAATCAGGGTCAGAAATCCAACGTCCACTGCAAGGATTCCTCAAAGTGCAGTAGAATCTTGTCATCCACAAGTCAGAAGCATTAAGGGCTAACTGATTGGAGTCTCAGCAGCCCATGACCCCCCCCCCCCCCCCCCCCC